CCCCAAAACCCCAAAACCCCAAAACCCCAAAACCCCTTTATTTCTAATAATAATTGATTGTTGGAGTGTAAATGGAGGACTTTATATTAGGACCTTTGAGCCAAGACCCATACAGGCGAAGTAAAGAGTTCATGGGCTCTTTCTTAGGTTGTATTGTGACATGACCTTGGTAACGATTTGGAGGTTGGTTGTTTTAGGCTTGCTTGATTCATACTTCATTCCGATGATCTTTGTTCTAACACAAGGCACCAAGCAGGGGATGCCAAGCATCTTACCATCAATTTCTATTGTTTAGAAGAACAAGACTCTGAATATTGTTCTGTTGACTTCCTTTTTCCAGTATTATACCGAATATCTCACCTAAAATTCCTGACATGGGAGTTTAAGAAAACTTTTGGCTAATGAAGTCCATGGTTCACTTAGAGCCAGCAGTTGAAAGAAGTCTCCTCGACTGAGGACCCAAAGTTTTCTAACTTCCATTCAGGAAATTTCAGGCAAGGTATTTGAAATTATTAATTATTAAACACCTCTGTACCCAACACTTAATTGTGGGATTACCTGAACTAATAATTTGTTATAGATCACAAAGACATCAGAAGAAATGAATGAAGACTTTTACTTCGAGAATGAGGATGCATGATCAAAGGAAAGTCATGTAGCTTCTAAAATATTATCTCTCAAGAAAAGTAAGTAAAAGTATTCTCAGCTATTTTCCAAATAAATTGGCAAATTGGGTCTTCAGGCTTACAATTTCGAATTTATGGATAAAGCCCTTAGGAGAGTAGAGCCTTAATAGTTTTTAATGTAGAATCCGAACTAGAAGCAGACAGAATGTCAATGGTGAGTCTTAAGCTCAATTTTTCAGAAATTTACTGAAGATGTTTGTGGGAAAAAGTGTTTTATCATACCCAACTTTTATAGTTTTGAAACTAGAGTTAAAAGTTTCTTTAAATTTTCCATATATATTGTAGAGAGCTAATCTCATCTAATTCATAATCTTTGTCTGAGCTATGACTAATCCTGTATTAATAGGCAATGCTGAAATACTTGGCTACAAAGGGTAAGTCAACTCGTTAGGCTTAGCTCTTGACATAACCTCGAATAGATGATATGAGCCCTCAAGCGAGGAAGGCAAGGGAGAACTCAGCACCTCTCCTAATCAGAATGATGAGGCAAATAAAGTTCTTCTCCCAAAGAGATATTGATGAACAAGATTATATGCTATTCGGTAAGTTGTTACCCAGCTTAGCTAATCTTTTAGTTGAATGAATGTAAGCATTTTGATAGTATCGTTGTAGGCACCATATCTCAATGAAGAAAGGCTCCATTGTATGACAGAAGGGAACTATTGGTGAAGAGTTCTACATTATCCTTCAAGGCGAAGTAGGCATCTTCCTGGAAATCCCTACTAGTTCGGATGGTAAGACTTTTGCTGGGTATCAATAATTCTTGGTATAGACACACAGCTAGGCGGGGTCTTTTCTATTAAGCTTAAGGGACCTGAATTTACAGAATCTATTAAATAAGTTAAATGGGATGTACGAGTTCATGAGGATGGGCCAAAGAGAAGCTTTCGGAGAAGCCTCTTTGATCAATGATGCGCCAAGAGGAGCTTCGATAGTATGAACCAAGGACTGACACTTTGCAGTCCTTTCCAAAAATAAATGTAAGCTTGCTATAATCCTTCTAGTTAACAACACATTACTCAAAATTGGTGAAAGACTTCGAGAAAATTACCAAAAGTATGGAGATGAGGATGTGAATCCTGAAGATTTCCTAAAATTAGATAACCTCAAGAAATTATTTCTAAATCAAAGTTTCCTCACCACATTTTTAAGATCTTTGAAAATATTCGAAGACTGGACTTTAAAATCTCTCCAAAATATCCTTTATGTGGCTGACCTGAAGACCTTTTCTAAGGGAGAAAGTATCTTCCTTCAGGGAGAAGAGGCAGAAGGATTTTATGTGGTCTTCAAAGGAGATGTATTGGTGACGTACAGAATTCAGAAGAATTATTATGAAAAATTAACATTTGATGGAAACCTTCTTAAATCTCAATTTCAGGGTCAAAGTCCTTGAGCTATTGAGAAAGCATCTAATGGTCATAAGAAAGTACTTAAAACTGAAGGAAGTGGAAATCCTAGCACTCTTGATGGGTATAGGCAGTCATACCACATTTTGGTAAATCGGTCTAAAAAGAAGCATCGTGCTGCCAAAGATGTTGAGATAAAAGTAGCTGGCCCAGGTCAATTGCTTGGCTCTGAAGATGCTGTTTTAAACAACTCAAATCACAAAATTAACAATTATAGTTATACTGCTAAATGCAAGTCTGCAACTTGCAAGGTTCTCTACTTTAGCAAGAAGCAGTGTTACGACAAGCTAAATTTCCTGAACTGTATGGACAAAATAATACAGTTCGCTAGAGTAGAAAGAGGTAAGTTTATTTGACACTCTCTAGTACGGTTCGATGAACTAAAAGACAAGAGTACTAACCTGTTCAAAGACCAGTTTGTCCAGTAAGACCAATGCCTCATATTTAGGCAGAAATAGCCGTGAGATTAACGTCAGAAAGAAAAGAAGTCACAGGAAGAAGCACGGTAAAATCTCTAAAAGAGAGAATACCCAAAGGTTCAAGGTCTTTGACAGCTGGTTTAACTCCACGATGTCTGGCAAAGTAAGTCAAATGAGATAGAAGCTTTAGAAAGTACAAAGATCAAGAGGCCCCTCTGCCTCTATGAAGAAACCTAGGCCAAAAGCCAGGGTAAAGAGTCCTGCAATCAGATGTATGTATAATTGATTATACTTAGTGAATGATTCCTTACTGCTTCAGATGAAGAATCAAAAGAAATAGAACCCAAAAATTAGGCACTTCCCATAGAATTTGTAGCCAAAGTAGCTGTATCAATGATAAGGCATTAGAAGCTATTTTAGAACCAGAGAACAAGCATGCTTTCAAACCTCAGTCTTCGAAAGGAATCAAGCTGTTTACCAAGAGAGTTAGAACAACTGCAAGAAAAAGAGATGTAAACAATCGAATATAAGTAATTTTTGCATGATCTGTAGATAATGTAACAACTCCAGTACCAAATAAGGCATCAGGAAGTCTAGAACCCAAAAGTAATATGGTAGAGGAAGACAGATCAGCTGTCCTCATGAAGATGGTGAAGAGACTAAATACTGGTCAATTCTCTTCTATTGAGCAACAACCACGCATCTCTGTTCATACTCCAGGAATAATGGGGCAAATCAGGCTGAAAAGGCAGAAACAGAGCATAGTCAGCACAGCGTTTTCAAGTAATATTATTCTAAAAATTTTTAGACCAACTTACTAATTTCACCGCAGGTCAGAATAAAAGACCTGGAAGTATTGCTGACTCAAATATCATGAGACAGGGCAATTTTTCGCCGACTGTTAGAGGCTATTTTTCTCCATCACAAAGGTAGGTTTTTCATTGTAAACTTTTATAGAAACAGGATTAAAGGTGAAACTCCTTTCACAGATAATATCATGATGAATATAACGTCACTGAATTCCCCTTCGAATAGAGGGACTACTCCTATGTCTCCCATTGAGTCTCCTTACCAGTCAGAAGATAACTTCACCTCAAAAGGTAAGCAGTCTATACTAATACAAAGTTATCAGACCTAAGGATAAAAGAGCAGATTTCTCAATAGTCCAGGATCTATGAAGCCCTAGGAGCTTATTAAAGAAGAAAAATAGCAAAATATCATCCAAAATGGCAGTTGCTTGCTTTATTCCCTCTTCTACTCGGCTTAAGATACAACCTACACAGAGGCAGAAGTATACGCCAACCATGGAGCCTATCTATAGTGCAAGGGGAGGCGTTAAATAACTTAGTAATTATCCTCTATATATATAAACCTTAAGGGGTTTTGGGGTTTTGGGGTTTTGGGG